CAGCCAAGATTTCTAAGGACGCCAAAAGCATGAATCATAAGAGAAAAGATTGATAAATTGACAAAACAGTGTGGTATTGGCACAAAAACAGACATATAGATAAGAGACTGATAAACTGAACATCATTAAAGTTAATTGCTTTTATTCCTCTAAGACGCGATTAAAATAATGGAAAGGCAAGTCACAGATGAGGAGAAAATATTTGCAAAACAAATATCTGATAAAGGATTTATATCCAGGGTATATAAAGAAATCTCAAAACTCAAGAATAAAAAAACAAACAACCCCCCAAAAATATGGGCTAAAGTTTTGAACAAAAACTCTCAATGAAGAAAGAGATACAAATGGCAAATAAGCACATGAAAAGTCATTTGGGAAATGCAAATTAAAGCCACAGTGAGATGCTACTACATATTCACCAAATGACTACAATCAGAAAGACTGACAACAGAGGCTGGTGAAGATGCAGAGCAGTTGGAACTCCCGTTCACTGCTGGTGGGAATGCAAACTGGTGCGGCCACTTTGGAAGACAATCCGGCAGTTTCTCATAAAGTTAAACATATACTTACCATGCAACTCAGCAATTCTCTGCTTAGGTGTTTATCCAAAGGAAATGAAAACGTATGCCTACACATATGTATTCAAATATTCCTATGAATAACATTATTCGTAATTAAAAATTACCCCCAAATGAAAACAACCAAATGTCACAATTTGTGAATGGCTAAACAAATTGTAGTACATGCCAACAGTGGAGTACTACTTAGCAACGAAAAGGAATGAATTATGTAGAACAACATAGATGAACTTCAGAAGTATTATTCCAAGCGAAAGAAGTCAAAACCACAAAAGAATTCATAGTGAGTCCATTCATATGGAGCTCTAGCAAAGACAAATCTAACCTACAGCTACAGAAAGCAGATGAGTGGTTGCCTGGGCTGGGGCCTGAAAGGTAGAGATTGACTGGGAAGGAACATCACAAAGGAACATTTTAGGGTGATGGAGGTGCTCTATTCTGGATCGGAGTGGTAGCTACCCAGGTGTACAAATTTGTTAAAACACAACAAACTATAAACATAGATGCGTGAATTTTATTGTATGCAAATTATACCTTAATGAAGCTGATTTAAATGATAACAGGTAGTGTCAGTAGGAAGACGCTTGACTCTTGGTGATCACCAAGGTGCTGGAACACTGCCTGCCTCTGAAACAAAGTGCAAGGCACTGTACCTCATCAGTAAATGGGAATCACCACCTGCCTCATTGTGTGATCCCTTGTGAGGATTGGAAATGATGCAGGAAAAGAGGCCCAAAGACCATAGTAAGTGAATGGTGAAGATTGTTACCTCTAATAAACGTAAGGATGGGTGAGTTTCCTTAAGGAGCCTAAGCATCCTCTCCCCATCTACTAAGAATTCATCCATCCATGCCTCCACCCATGCCTCCATCTGTCCACTCATCCATCCATGCCTCCACCCATGCCTCCATCTGTCCATTCATCCGTCCATGCCTCCACCCATGCCTCCATCTGTCCATTCATCCATCCATCCACTCGTCCATGTAATACATATCTATCGAGCACATGCTACTTGCCTAGAACTGCGCTTGGCCCTGTGGATTCAGGAGCAAACAAGGAGAAATGCTATCCTTGTTGGTTTATATTTTAGTGCAAGAAAGTGATGCCAAGCCAAAAATAGACAGAAAATGAATCCATTTGTGACGAACGCTGGGAAGGAGGCTCCAGGGAACCCCAGGCCAGTGTAACAGGGTCTCAACCTAGTCAGGGTCGGGAAATGCAGCCTTGTAAAGGCACATTTGAGTCGGGCTAGAGGGTGGTGAGGAGCTGCACAGGCATGGGGCCGGGAGGCTCCTTCCAGCAGAAGGCACGGCAGGGGCAAAGGTCTGACACAGGGAAGAAGGCGTGAAGAAGGGAGACCTCCCTCGTATGTGTGTCAGGAAGATCTGGGCTCCAAATGAGAATGGAATGGCCCCTCGGTCACTTCATCCCCCTGCAGGGCTGGGATCTGGCCGGGCGGGCAGGGTGGCTGCTCTCCATCTTTCTGTCCAGTAACTTCCCCACCCCACCCCCACCTACCACAGAAGCAGGGGGAGTCAGAGCCAGGGAGGTGCTGGGGACCTCAGGGAGGCCCGATACGGCTACGGTTTCGGCTCAAATCTGGACCAGGTACATAGGCTGGCACGGGAATGGGAGAGCTGGTGGCAGGGCCCCGCCAGGCCTGGGATGCCCCGGGTAGGGAGGAAGTGTGTCTGCAGGAGAGGAGGGAGTGTGGCATGATGCCATGGTTTTGAGCTCAGCTTTACAGACAGAGCTGGGTTTGAGTTCCATCTCTTCCACTATAATGATGAGACAGTGGGAAAGTCATTTCATGTCTCTGAGCCCCCAATTCCTCCTCTGAAGAAGAGAATAATAGAAAAACAGAGAAGTTAGTAATACTGTCTCCTTGGCCAGCACAGAGAGGCAGCAGAGCATAGGCCTGTGATCTCATCACATCTGCCCTGCTGACCAGCTGTGTGACCTTAGCCAAGATCCTTAACCTCTCTGTGCCTCAGCATTCTTCTCTGTAAGATAAAGTTAGAGACCATGAGTTGTTCCCAACATCTATATCCCTCTTCTTCATCAATTATACAAACTGTGAACTTTAGCTGGCTAAAGATGGAATTTCCCAGCCTCCCTTGTGATTAAATTCTGGCCAATGAGATCTAAGCCAAGATTTGTATAACATCTGCGGTAGGGATGGGGCTCTTTTCTTCTCCTGCCCTTTTTCTCCTTCTTGCTGTCTAGAGTGCAGATGTGATGGCTAGAGCTGGAGCACCCATCCTGGACCATGAGCTGAATGTGGGAATTGAGGCCACATATGGCAGAGCAGCAGATAGAAGGAGCCTGGGTTCCAGACCTGACTGTCTTCCCCTGGCTGGTAACTGAGACAGAAACAAACTTCTCTGTTGATTAAGCCAAACCACTCCAAATGCTGTAGTTCCTACCTCGTGGAGGTCTTGAGAAGACGAAATGAATGAATACACATGAAAGAGTCAGGACAGAGGTTGGCACAGCATACGCTCCAGAAACTGCTGTGTTACAGATATCACCTCTCAGCAATGCAGGGAAGAGTGAAGGAGCTAGTGAGAGCCACGTGCCGGGCACCTCACCTCTCAAACAGTAAGCCTCTCCATGAACGATAGCTGGTATTGTTGCTGACGTTATTTCATTATCATTGTCCAAGATACAACGTTGGGGCATGCATAGCCAGCAGTGCATCAAAGAGGAGGGTGACAGCAAGGCCTGGGCCCTGACGGAGCAGACTCTGAGCCCCTGAGGGTGGGGGGCTGTCTCAGTCCACACTGCTGCACACACCGGCCTCAGGAGGGCACCGGGCTCACTGGCTTCTGGCCTGGGACATTTTGGGCTCATCCTTCCCTCTCACTGAGTGATCCTGGGCGAGCCACGTGACCTTCTTGAACTGGGGGGGGATGGGCGTGTGGGGGGGGGTGTCTGCCTGTGGAAGGTGAGATAATTTTCCTTACGTCACAGGGGTTGTGGGAGGATTACGTGAGTGAGTGGATGTGAAGGCTGAGCCCAAGACCTGGAAATCCTGGAGGACAAGCAGATTCCCTCACAGGTATCACCTCCTCGGCAGAAATGCTTCTCTGAAAGTTGGCAGCCTAGATGAAGTTCCATCAGTGACAGACATTCTCAAACTGGCCTCTTTTCTTAAGTGGATCATTTTTCATTCCACATTGGGGTGAGAGGAGTATTTGGCCTGGGGGTTGCTGTACGTAGGTTCATTCATTCATTTAGACATTTCCTACGTGTGGGTCACCTAGGACCAACCTGGGCATCTTTGTGTTTGCTGTTCCCTCTGCCTGGATCACTGTTCTCCCAGTGGATATCTTATCATTCTAGCTAGGTTCCAGTATCTGCCCTCGAAGAGGTCTTCCCTGGGCAGCCTATAAAACAAACTCTTTATCCCTTTCCCCTCTGTGGTTTCTTCATGGCACTCTTACTATCTGACATCGGGTTTTATTTATCTATTTTCTGTGTGTCTCCTTCATTAGATTGTGAGGCCCCCAGAGCATGGACTATGTCTAAGGCATTTACTTTCGTCTCCCCATTGGGTACCCGGCACACAGTAGGTGCTCAGTAAATATTTGTTAAGTGGATAAGTGAAGTGTTGTAGTCTCCAATTCAAACGTTTCCTGAGTATCATCGAAAGCCTATGGGCTGTGGATATGAAAATAAATCAGACATAGTCCTTGGCCTCAAGGAGCACTTGGTCTAAAGGAAAAAGAGGAAGTTGGACAGATGCCATAGCAAAACATAGCTGGGAAATTCATCTCCAGTTTCTGCAAACTGAATAGAAGGAGGGAGGAAGGCAGTTACTGTGTGCTGAGGCGCACCTGGGGCAGGACCTCTCACACACCACATTTGGCTCAATTCACACGATAGCCTGCTTCACAGAGTAAGCATTGGGAATTCAGAAAGGTGAAATGACTTGGCGAAAATCAGACTCAAGGCAGAGCTGGAAACTGGGTGGCCTGATTCTAAACTCTGAGTACTGTTTCTTCTACCATGAGGCCTTTCTTATGGAAGAGAAAAAAGTTAAGTCCAGCCTAAGGGGACAGGAAAAAAAGCAATATATATACTGTTTTATATAAAATAAATTATAGGGCTTCCCTGGTGGCGCAGTGGTTGAGAGTCCGCCTGCCGATGCAGGGGATGCAGGTTCGTGCCCCGGTCCGGGAGGATCCCACATGCCGCGGAGCGGCTGGGCCCGTGAGCCATGATCGCTGGGCCTGCGCGTCCGGAGCCTGTGCTCCGCCGCGGAAGAAGCCACAACAGTGAGAGGCCCGCGTACCGCAAAAAAACAAACAAACAAAAAAAAAAACTTTATAAAATATTTTATATGATATATTTTTATAGTTTAAATTTTAATAAAATTTTAAATAGAAATATAATATTTCATTGTTAATTTTTGCTCATGTAATAAATATATCCATGAGGGGTAGCCTTCAGGCATGGCTGGATCTAAGGTCTCAAACAACACCATCAAAATTGGCTCCATTCTCAGATGGCCTCTCATGTCATAGTAGCAAGGTGGCTGCCTGCAATGGCAGCCCTCCCATTCCTTCCTCCCCTCCCCAAAGAACCAAGTGTTGAGGGAAGAAGAATGTCTAATCGCAGTCCTTGGGCTTGGCTAATCAAGTGCCCATTCCCATCGACTTCCTTCCACTACAGAGGCTGTGTAGCCAAATATCCCCCTGTTCAGCCTTTTCTACAGCTGTGGGGACACATGACATACTGCTGGTCAATATGACATAAGCCAAAGCCGGCTGGCAGGAAGAGAGTTTTTGCTACTCTAATAACAAGGGCAGCAGTGGCTGGAGCTGCCTTTCCTCACTTTGTCTTGCGTTGTACATATAAAAAAATTAATTAACAGAAACCTCGATTAAAGGGAGTCGAGAGACAAGAACGGGGAGCCCTCACAGCCTGTGATGGTAGCAGAGCAACAGGAAGAAGAAAGACTCCTCTTCTCTCCTGGCAAGGACTCAGCCAATGAAAAACCACGGACATTTTGTTTACTACAGCCCTCTCAATTCCTTCTCCTCTCTATAAAAGTGTCTTCCTTTCCTTGTCGTGCAGGGAGCTGCATGTGGCTCACCGTGGTTGCCGACCCCAAATTGCAATTCTCTGCCGATTCTGAATAAACCCATCTTTGCGGGAGAAATATCTAGCTGTCTGTTTGCTTCAGGTCAATGAAAACAAGCCTGATGCTTGGAGCATGGACCATCTTGCAACCTCGAGGGAAAGGCCAAAAAAATTATCATGACATTAGCTCTGACATTGTTGATCAGCTGAATTCCTACCTTCAGACTTCTTCCTAAAGAGAAAAATAAGCCCTCTATTGTTTAAGCCACTGCATTAAATTCCCTGTTACTTGCAGCAGAAAGCATTCCTGACTGCTGCACCTCTCTGTCAAGTCCCCATAAAATCTCTGGGAAGGCATCACATTAGCTCCAATGGGGTCCTGTTCCTACTGCTGGACCAACCGTGGTGGCCGCAGGGATGGGATACGCCAGCTAACCACCCTGGAGGCCACCTTCACCACACAGGCTGAGAGTGGGCAGCAATGGCTCCCCTGTAGGCGAGGGGGGCGCTGTCAGCAGAGGTGGGAAATGGTGGCTGCTCTCCCTACACCCCAGGATCCAGGGAGACAACAGACTCCTTGTTCTTGGTCTGAGTTTCCGTCCATCATTTCCTGGGACAATGAGGGAGATAACAGCTCGTTTACCCTGCAGATGTTTTATTGGGGAGGTGGAGGGAGGATAACGCAGGGGAACTGTCCAGATAGGGCATCTTCCTGGGAGTAAAGGACAAGCCGTAAAGCGTGTACAGGACCAGGCTCTGACCTTCCTGAGTTCATCCTATCACATCGCAATCCTTGCGACCCTGAAAGCAGAGGAAGACAGTCCTTTCCCTCCTCAGTCCTCTCCGCTTTCCCTGTAAGACTTCTGAGCCAGTCAGGCTCTGGGCCTCGCCTCAAAGCGCCTGCATCTCCAGGATGGGGGACAGAATGGCCATCCTGTGGAGGACGGCATGAGAGACAGTGGCTGGCCCCAGTGGCCCTGTGCCAGCAGCAACAGCCAGGGTGCTTTCTCTGCAAAGCCTTCCTCAACAATCCTAGAATCCCAGGTAGAAAATCTGCTCCCACCAGAGGCAGGAACCACCCGGCGGTAAGCAAACCCAGGCAGGTGGCGAGGCCATATTCCCCAGCCTCCTTTGCAGGTAGCAGTGGGCGTGTCACTGAGTTCCGCTCCACCACACGCCTTCCCCTTCCGTGGGATTGATGCACGCAGGCCTGGAGACCTCGTGGTGGAAATGGTGGCTCACGAGATGGAAGGAGCTTGGGTCCTGGAATCATTGCTGGTGAGAGCCGCTCACTCATTGGGAGCACCCATGGTGGACTTTGGGTGAGTGAGAAATAAACCTCTATGGTGTTTGGTGCATTCTGTCTCTTGGGCTTACTAATGTTGCCCTCACTCATCCACTGCCCGGGGGTCCTGTAAAGTCTTGTGGGGTGGGAGATGGACGGCCAGCCATGGAGGGCACACCATGTGGGCACCAGCAAAGTCGGTGGGGCAGGTGAGGAGGCCCAAGGAGCCAGCGGTGACCACATGGTTTGTGCTGAGACCAGACTCTCCTTGGGTTCTCCTCCCTTGACCGCCAGACAGCAGCCCATGACGTCAAGCCTGGAGTCAGGGTGAGAGACTAATAACCACAATAATGAGGGTTGCTGCCAGTGTTCAAGAGCGTCTGCCGCTTGCCAGGCGCTGGACTCATTGCTTCATAAGCCTGATCTCATTTCATCCTCATGATGATGACCCAGCAAGGAAGGCACTGCCCCATTTTACAGATGAGAAAATGGAAGCTCATTGGACATTCCAGGACACTTTGCAAAGGGCAGCATCTTTGGAGTGCAGCATCTTTCTGAGACAAGCTTCCTTCCCACAGCACGGCCTTTCCTTGGAGCTTGTGCCTTCACTCATTATGTGAGAGGCAATATTTATGGAACTGAGGACACAGCAGTCAACAAAATAGGGGGAAATCCCAGACCCCATGGAGCTGGTACCCTAATGGGGAAAACAAGCAATAAACACGTAGGCAAATAGATAAGTGATGAGTTCAGATAAGGATGAGTGACAGGAAGACAGTAAGTCAGGAAGATGTGGGTGGGTGAGGGGAGGAGGTAGTGCCCTGAATTTCAATGTCAGTGGAAGCCTTCCTGACGTTGAGCTGAGAGCGAAAGGAGTGAGCCCCCTGAAGACCTGGGAAGGGTGTCCTGGCAGAGGGAACAGCACATGCAAAATGCAAGTGCAAAGGCCCTGAGGCTGGAATGAGCTTGTCACCTTCAGGGAACAGAAAGAAAGGCAGTGCAGCTGGAGTGGAGTCAGCAGGAGAGGGAGGGGTTGATGAGGCTGTGGAGGGGGCTGGGATGGGACAAAGGATGGGTTTGGGTGGGCAGTGGTGGGGAAGGGTAGAGGACTCCCCTGGAAGGGCTCATCTGGGTGTCAGCTCTGGGGTTGCAGGGAGGGGGTGTCCAAAGGAAGAGAGAAGACAGGATCTCAGCCCAAATTTATCTCTTCTGCTCCACTTGACTTCTCTCTCTTGCTCTCTTTTTCTTGTCACATGTGGAGGCTGGATCCCTTGGGAAAACGAGGCCCGGGCTTGAATCTACAGGCCCTTGGAATGACAGGGGCACCCTCCTGCCCTCCTGGAGATCTTGACACAGAGCAGAGGACAGGGACAGACAGCCCTGAGAGTCAAGCCCTCATAGCCTCTGCCCTGCCTCTAGCTTGCCGTGTGACCTGGGGCTTGTCTCTGCCCGTCTCTGGGCCTCCCTTTTCTCCTCTGTTTGAGGAGGGGGCTGGTCTGTCTCCACACTTTTCCAGCAGTCTGTCCTTGGGCAAGCTGCTTAGCCCCCATGCCTCAGTCTCCTCATCTGTGCAATGAGGACGGCCCAGTCCCCAGGGTCACGATGAGGATTAAATGTGCAGTGACTGGTGCTCAGTAACTGCTGGGAACGACTATTATTACTCTATTTTACCATTCTATTGCTAGTGTTATTGTTGCATTAATACCAATGCAGATCCTTTCTGAGGCCCCTTCCAGCTTTCAGACTGACCTGGTTGTTGCCTATACCTCCACACCTCAGCCAGTGTCAAGGGGCAGTGTTCACCTACCTCACTGATGCTCTGGGGAATGGGGCTTGACCTCCTCTCCACGAGAGGGACCCAGCCCCTCCCTTCCTTCTCCAGCCTTGCCACTCTCCTTGCCCAACTCCCTTCTGCTGGGACCCAAGATTGTTTCCACCACGAGGAGCAGTCAGGACCAAAAATCATCCCTGAGGCCTAAAGGACTATTCAGGCCAATTTCTTGAGAGCCTGGAGGGAGCGGGGGGGGAAGTGAAGATGAGCCCCAAGCCCAGCTTTGCCTCTGGGAGGTCTTAGTCAGGGCCCAGGGGACCAGGTTCCCCACATTCTCTGAGCTTCCCTACCCCACCCTGGCTGCCGTCCCGTCCTCCCATCCTTCCCTCCCCTTTCCTGAAGGGATGCTCATTCTCTCCCCTGGGTCTTGCCTCAGCCCCACTGGAGAGCAGAAACTCGGGCTAGTCTCTCGACGCCCCGCTTGATTAAAATGCAGAAGGCACCTCTGTCTAAAAATGAGACTAGACCCTAATGGCTTCCAGTCTTCTTGGCTGACTGGCCACCGGCTTCTGGCTGCCCTCACCCAGCACTGGAAGGGGCTTACCAACAAGGGAGCAGAGGCCTGAGTTGATCACAAGCCAGGCTTCAGACTCCTGGCTCAGTGCTCAGGCTGGGTGGGAATGGAGGCTGTGAATGGAGGGTTGTGAGCAGAGGGTGTGAGTGGAGGCTGTGGGTGGAAGGTGTGAGCGGAGGGGTTGTGAGCAGAGGGTGTGAGTGGAGGGTAAGGTGGGCAGCCCATGGGTCACTCCCGGGCTTCAGTTTCTCCATCTGCAGAATGGGGATGATAATGTAAGATTTCATGCTTAGAACCTTACCTGACCCACTGCCAGCGTCGATGAATCCTCCATAAGATCTCAGCCCTCAGACTCCTGCTGTCCCCTCATCTTGGCCATTTCGCCACCTCCATAGACCCAGCTCTCAATCAGGCACTTGGGGCCACAGCGCAGGGAGGGGCTGCCGAGGGCCGGCCCTCCTCACAGCTCTCCCAGCTCAGCAGCCGCCAGGGGATCAGAACGCCTCCGCCCGTTTCAGTTGAGCCCCCTCTGTGTGTTAGGCACAGTGCTGCCTGCTCTCTCTTTCTCTTATTCTGAGAAAACAATGACTGATTCAGTGAAGGAAGTTCTAGAAGGGTGTAAAGCAGAGTTAAAATCCTGTCAGTCGGTCCGCTCATGGCCCCCTTCCCGCCCCCACCAACTCTGTGCGCACAGACCCCACCCCTCCGCTGTTCCCGGCGCACGCTGCCCCGAAGCCCCTTTGAGCAGCGCACAGCGGGGCTGGGACCCCTGTGTCAGGCTTTTCCACCACGGTGTCGTTTGCCGCAGTGTGGCTGGGCCGCGGTCAGTGGGGCCAGTGCCCCTGGTGGACCTCTGGGCTGCAGCCCAGATCCTTACACTTGTGAAAGGGCTGCAGGGTCCAGCCCTCATTCGTGCCTCTTTATCCACACGGCGCCGTTTCTCTAAGGCAGATTCCTGGACACCAGGCTGACGTGCTCTTAACGCGTGCGGGTACCGTCAAATCCCACCTCCCCAGCAGGCTGCTCTAGACTAGCACACTCGCTCGCCCAGCCTGTGTGTGAGGGTGACTGTCGCCCCCACCCCTCCACCCTGGAAGGCCCCAGCCTCCCTGCCTCTCTGGCTTTCTCCTCCTTCAAGGTGACTGGAGGTCCAGCATCCTCTCTTGGCTGTGCTGTGGATGCTCGTCTCTCAGTCAGCCATCATGGGTTGAGATCAGTGTTCATCTCCATCTCAGGTGACACTGTCACAGGCACCCACAGGAATCAGAGATCAGTGGAGAAGAGGTTTGGGTCTATAGAAGTGGTGTAGGGAGTGCCTTGGAGTGGGGATTCTGGAGCCAGGCGGCCTGGGGTTCAAATCCTGGCTATGCCCATCGCTGGCTGTGTGACTTTGGGCAAGTTATTCAACATCTCTGAGCTTCAGCTGGGTCATCAGAAAAGCCAAGTTAGTAGAAGCATCTAGCTCTGATGGTTGTTGTGAAGAGTTAGTACATACACGGTGCTCACAACAGTGCTGGGCACGTTAGCTGTTGATATTTGAGCACCTACAGTACAGGAATGAAACGTGGAGGGGTATCAGGAGACAAGAACAGTTACTGTTCATTGAACGCTGATGTGCCGAGTGCTCTGTATGAACTGGCTTACAGCGACAGGAACCCAAAGCTCTGAGAGGTAATGGGACATGCAGCCTGGAGCTGGAAACCCATCTCCTGCAGCTCTCAGGACCCTTGTTCAGGTCCTGGTGGGGAGGGTGGCTGGTGTGAGGGTGGCCTGGCCTGGCTGGAAAATGGGATTTCCAGGGCTGGAGCCCAGTCCAGAGCTTGAGCCTTGATGAGGAACAGATGCACACAGAGTCCGGGCCCCGCCCACACGCCGCTGTAGCCCGGGGTGGGCGGTGGTAATGGCTTCCAGATGGGCTCCGCTCCGAGCAGTACCTTAAGTGACTTGGTCTGGGTCCCTGCGGGGCAAGGCTGCAGTCCTCCTCCCTGGCTCTTAGCCCCTCTGGCCCTGGTAGATACCTGACAATGTACCTTGGTTTGGGCCAGGTGACCTCAGGAATGTTGGCCCTGGTCAGAGCCTCAGTTTCTCCTTCTGAGAAGCAGGCATTCTCCCTCAGCAATCATTCTCCATCACGCCGGCCTGGCAGGGATGTCCTGTGCTGGGAAACCTGAGGAGGAGTATGAGAGGGTTTCCCAAACTGTGAAGGGCTGTGCACCTGGGGCAGAATCTTCCAGACCGAGCACCCCTGGAAAAGTAAGGACTTTGAGTTTGGCTTTTATTTTCTATTCATACTTATTTTCTGAATGTATAATTCATATCCATAGTACAAAATCTCGAAGGTACAAAAGGAAGGGGACATAGTGAAAAGTGAGTCTCTCTCCCACCCCCGTCCTCCAGACACCCAGACTCTCCTTCCCCAAGGCAACCCTGTCACCAATTCCCTGTGAATCTGCCCAGAGGTATTTTATGCATTTGTGAGGAAATTCACGGGGTTCTTTTTTTTTTACCCAGTGATGGCAGACTTCACACAGTACTCTGCACTGTCCTTTTGTTCTCTAAAACTCCCTCTAGAGGTCTTTTACACGCTCCATGAAGAGGCCCCCCTTCCTTTTGACGCCTGACCAAGGTGATAGTCAAAGTATCATGCAACTATTTAGCATGGACATCACTGACAAATCGGAACGGAGTCCAGCAGTGCACAGCCCCTACACCTGTACGGTGTTGGTGGCTAGTGCCGGCCCTGGGTCTCCTAGTGTCTTCACTGCATGAGTGTGTCAGCACGTACTCAACCAGTCTTCAAGCGATGGGCACTTAGGCTGCTTCCGATATTTTACTTTTCCAATCAAGGTTGCATTGAATATCCATTTTATACATTTGCATTCTGCATCCATATGTAAAAAAAATTATTTTAACCTATACCTCACACCATACGCAAGAATTAACTTGAAATGGGCCGTAGATCTAAATGTCAAACTTAAACCCATAAAATATCCAGGCAGAAAGTAGGAGAAAATCTTTGTGAACTTGGGTTAGACAAGGATTTTTTAGACAAGACACAAAAAGCACGAATCAGAAAAAAAAAAAAGTTTGACTTAATCAAAATCAAAAACTTCTCTTCTAATGGCACTGTTAAGAAAATGAAAATACAAGCCACGGATTGGGAGAAAATATTTGCAAAAGTAATATCGGATAAAAGACTTGTATCCAGAACATATATAAAGAGCGCGCGCAACTGGATAATGAGAAAACAAATGATGCAGTAAAAATGGGCAAAAGATTTAAAAGGATACTTCACCAAAATATAGATATTGATGGCAAATAAGCCCATGAAAAGACACTCAAACCGTCAGTCATCGGTGGAATGCAAATGAAAGCCACAATGAGATACTACTACACACCTGTTAGTGTGGCTAAAATTAAAGATACCACCAAAGCCAAGGGCTGATGAGGGCACATAGCAACTGCAACTTGGGAAAACAATGTGGCAGTTCCTTACAAAATTAAACCTACAATTACCATAGGACCCAGCGACACTACCCAAACTTGATATCTACCCAAGAGAAATTAAAATTGTGAAAAAGTCATACACAAAAAGTTATAGCAGCTTTTCTCATAATCACCCCAAACTGGAAACAATGGTCCTCCAACCGGTGAATGGATAAAAAAATGGAATACTACTCGGCAAGAAAAATGAACTGTTGATACAAGCAAAAATACAGAGGAGTCTCAAAGGCAAGATGTGGGGTGAAAGAAACCAGACTTAAGAAGCTATGTACTGCATGATTTCACTTCCATGACCTTCTGGAAAAGGCAAACCAAATGGCCAGAGAACAATCCAATTAGTGTTTGCCCGGGGTGGGTGGGGCAGGGGGAGGAGATCGACTGAAAAGGGGCAGAGGAGAACTTTCTGGGGTGATGAAGCAGTTCTAGACCCTGATGTGGTGGTTACATGGCTATCTGCTTGTTAAAACGCAATAAACTTTACATCTCAAGGGATGAGTTTTATTTCCTGGGATAAGTTATATTCCAACAAAACAGTAATAAATTCAATATTGGATATTTTAGTATTGAAAAATGTTTAAGGAGACCATACCTGTGTTTGTAAACTTAATAAGTACTTCCAAGTGCCCCACAGAGATAGAGGTCGTACTGGTTTGTTTACCCTCCCAGTGTGAGTGAGGGCAGGGCTCTAAAGGGCAGTAGGGGTTGGGAAGCGGGGGTTCACTGACCTGACGAGGCTGTGTTCCGGGGCTTTAGGGCCGTGGCTGGACGCTGATCTGCTGCAACCCATGGATGGCACAGGCAGTGGCTGCTGACTCAGAGCTGAGTCAGACCCAGGCCTTACCCTCACGGGGCTCCCAGTCTAGGGGCGAGACAGACACATAGAGCGAGGAAACTCACAGGGAAGTCGGAGCAGAGCTGATGGGAGAGGCACCTGGCCTGCCTGGGGGGCTCTCAGGAAGGCTTCCAGGAGGAGGCAGAGTCAGAGCTGAAACCTCTAGGATGATGGCTTTAGCTAGGTGAAGAGGAGGGGGAAGGGGGCTGCGGGCAGAGAGCACAGCTGTGTGAAGGAGGTGAGGGGTAAGATCGGGGTGGGGCCTTCAGGGCCTGGTTGGAAAGCTCTGCAGCCACCGGCTGCCTGCTCTCCCTTGCGGTCAGGTTCCTCATTTGGAGAATGGGGCCGTTACCCAGCCTCCGGAAGCGGGCAAGATGATTCAAGAGAATATGTGTAAAGTGGCTGATGTACAGCTAGGTCTGCAACAGTGACGGGGGCCTGGAGGAGGGGAGAAGGGGGAAGTCTGGTGGCAGCCTTTTGAAACTGGGTCAGAATTCAGATGAGGGGGAAGATGTAAAGAGGTCGAGAATTAGATAAACAAGATCCTTTAAATCACCATAAAGGCTATGAAGAAAAATTTCAAAGGTACTAAGTAGAGAATGACTTGTGGGGAGGGGCATGGTATTTAGACAAGATTATCAGGGAAGGCCTCTTTGAAGAGGTGCCATTTGAACTGAGAGACTTAGAAGAAGCGAAGGAGCCAGCCACGTGGAGATCTAGAGGGAGAGCATTCCAGGCAGAGAGGTTAGCAAGTGCAAAGTCCCTGAGGCCAGAATGAGATTGGTGTGTCGAAGGAACAAAGGAAGCCAGTGTGGTTTAAGTGGGCAAGCACAAGAGGGTAGGAGACAAGGTCAGAGGGGCCACGGGGGCCAATAGGTTGGGCCTTGTGGCCACCGTGAGCTTGTTTGTACCAGCCCTGACATAGCACAAGGGGCGCTCCGGATCCTTGTTCCTGGTTGGCTCCTGGTCTCTTGCGTCCTCCTCTGTTCTTGTCAACGTCAATGGACACGTTGGCTGTCCCCAGATCCCTCCAGTGCCCCTCCACCCGCCCTGCTCATCCAGCAGTGAGGCCCACCCTCCCCGAACCCCCTTTTCATAGGCTCCTCGATCCTCTTGCCTGTTGTTAACACAGCCATCGCCCCTGACCACAGTCCCCCAAGATCATCAAGGAACCAGCAAACATTCATTGACTGAGTGGGTGATGAATGCATTGTTGCCATTGTTAGAGAGGTGGCCCAAGGGAGGGCTCCACCTTCTACTTCCTGGGCGCCTGAGCCTCAATTGTATGACCTGTAAAATGGGGGAGAATGTAGCAAACAAGTGTGTGAATAAATGCTTGTAAACCTCAGTAGTAATCACAGAAATGCAGGTTAAATGGTCAGGGGCACATCCCCTCTGCCTATACCTACCCGACTGGCAAAAATTAGGAAGTCAGGAACTCCCAAGTTAGTGAGGGTGTGGGAGATGGGAGTTTCATGTTCTGCTGGCATTTGGACTGGCACAGTACCTAGGGACAGTAAGCAGGAGAGACCCAGCCACCCGTCTTCTGCGTATAAAGCCCAGAGAGATTCTCCCGCAGGCCTAGGAGGGGACACTAAGAGGCGATGGGTCTCTCTCCCGTGCTGAGACGTGAGGAAGGGGGCAGTCAACGATAACCTACGTCTGATGCCAGGGTAAGTGAGGTGCAGGGATGCAGCTACGAAACACCAGGTGGATGACGGGTAGACAAGAAGATAGAAATCTGTAGCCCGAGGCCATTTCTGTAAATGAAAAACCACAGAAACCACAAAACATCCCCATGTGGTTCACAAGGATTCATGAGTATTCAAGGACACAGACCGGACTCATGAGAGTGGGTGCCTGTGTGGGAGGGGAAGGGGAAGGGCAGGAGCGTCAAGAGGGAAATTAAAAAGAAAGAGAGGGGCTTGCAGGAATGGAGAACGATCAATGCAACTTCCTTGGCACCCACACTGTAAAAAAAAATGAAAAAGAAGATAAAGTGGGCATGATGGAAGGATGGCCATAGCAACACCTTCCTGCAATGAGATAAAGCGGGCAGGGTACTCAGCGCGGTGCTGGCACACAGTCAAGCTTCATAGGGGTGAGCTTTCCAGCCACTGGCCCTAGAAGTCGGGGCCTTGCTTCTCTGTCTTCCTGGGCAGTGCTGCCCTCTCGTGGCCAAAACAGTTATAGGGCTCAGGCCACTCCCAGGGTATCAGACAGACAAAGGGTGTGGAAAGAGCGAAGGAGGAGGGCATCACAAGAGGCAGGGGACTTCCAATTGGGGAAGGATGGATCAAGTGAGGCTTCCTGGAGGAGGAGCATGTATGCTGAAGGAGAGATACTATTTGGAGTCTGGGATATTGATGAGCAAATGAAAGATTGTATGGAGTTATATTATCAAAAGCTACCATCACTAAGCCCTTCTGTGTGTCAGGACTTTACATACCTGATATCATTTTATCCTCTACCACCCTGGCAGTGGGTGTTACTGTTTTTGGCTTCATTTGAAGCTGTGGAAAGGGAGACTCAGGGGGCAAAGTGACACGCCCAGGGTCCTGCAGGCTGCTGGGCACAGAGCTGGGATCCGCACCCAGGTCTGTGTAACTTGCTGGTATGTTCAATCATCCCCACTTTGGGGTGGATCAAAGAACTCAGTGAGCCCAGGCATAATTCACTCCTGAATCTTGGTATCTGAAAAACTCCTTAGCAGACTTTCACACCAGGTTCGCACAAGTAATGGAAATGGAACCCTCAGAGACAGGGGGAAGCTGGTTGTGGGCTGGTGTGCAGGGGTTCGCCCCGGAAGCTGGCTCTCGCTCTTTGGCAGGCAGCTGGGGTGCCCACACTTGTGGGTGAAAGGTGGGGCCTCACTCTCTGAACTCAACGATGTGTCTCCAAGACACTGTCTGAAAAATGCTTCATTTCAGAATTTATGTCAAAGCCATTTGAATTTTTATTAGGAGTACTTAATGACCAGTTTGCAAAATGTCTTCAAAGTATTTCATTTTTATTTTTTGGGCTTGGTAATATATTCCCATATCTTAAAAGTCAAAAGGAACAAAAGAGAAAAGCAAGTCTCCTTTCCATGCCCTTCAACCCCAGCCCTGGTGCACGCTGCACCCTGCTGTACAACTGGCCTTTCCTGGGTGACGACGTACCTTGGGATTTGCTCCAGGCCAGCACACCACCCGCTTCCTCAGGCTTCTCGGCTGCATGGCATTCCATCACAAACTCTGCCATTATATGGTAAACAGATCTCCTAGAGATGTTCAGGATGTTTTCAGATTTTTGTGATCACACACAGGCTGCAGGGAACAGCCGTGTACCATGTACACTTGTCACTTTGCACGTGAACGAGGCTAATTAGGGGATAAATCACTAGAAGTGGATTGCTGGGTCGGGGACACACGCATTGTAATTTTGATAGGGGTCGTCAACTCTCTTCTGCAGAGACTGGGCCATGTCCTCCCCTGAGGAAGGTAGGAGAGATCTCCAGAGGCTTGCCCACAGCCTGGCTGAGGCCCTGTGGTTTGAAATTCTGGCTCTTGACCAATCAGGTGAAAAATAGTAGCTCTGTGTAATTTTATTGTCACTTAACTTGAGTGAGGTGGACCATCTTTTCCAGTGTGTAGGTAAGAGCCATTTGGAATTCTTATTCTGGATGAATGTTTTTGCCGTAAGGGAGCAATGATGAGTGGGACATGCGTCCGTGGGTGTCTGTGCATGAATGAAGTGGCCGCCTGGTGGAGGGCAAAAGTTTGAGTTCCCATTCCACTACTTACTTTCTGAGCCTCAGATTCCTTGTCTGTAAAAAGTAGGAATAATAATAAAATCTACTTCAGAGGGCTCTAGGAACCTAGGATGAATTTAAGTTTTTAAGGTTAAGTGCCTGGCACAGTTCCTGGCTCAGACTTAGTGCATAAGAAATGTTAGTTGAGTGAATAAACAAAATATATGTCATAATAAAAAATTTATTTAGTACTTACTGTGTATATAAACCCTTGCTCATATATTAACTTATTTAAACCTCACAGTGGCAACAGGAGGGATACTCTTATTTTCCCCTTTTACAGATGAGGAAACTGAGGCACAGAGAGTACAGGGTCTTGCCTGAAGGCTGATAACGTGCCTGAAGGTCAGAGATGGAGATGGGATTTGTGGCCTTGCCATCTGCCCCTCCACCCTAGGAGAAAGGTCCCACTGTCAACCCCTGCTCCTGTTGTCTATTGCTACAAAAGCTCCCAACTTTAGAGGCGGAAAGCAACAACCATTTTATTGTGCTCATGAGTTCTGAGGATCAGAGTCCAGACAGGGCAGAGCGGGCCCGGCTTATCTCTGCTGGGGCCTTGGCTAGGAGGATTCTACAGCTGGGGCTGGAAAGGCCAGGGCTGGCAGACCCGCTCCGGAGATGGCTTCTTTACCGGCAGGTCTGGCTGGATGATCTATTCTGCCTTGTGGGTGGCAGGTTGAATGAAAAAGCGCTTCTACAGGTGAGGCTGGGGGTCATGGACTGCAGGGTAGGGAGCCAGCAGACCCCAAGGCTGTGTCCCTGTGTTCCAGGGTCTGACAGCCTAAGAGGCTTAGAAAGTCTAGGCCCCTCTGCACCTGCTGTTTCCTCAAGCTGGGACCCTCCCCACCCATCTCATTCACACTCCCTCATTCTCCAGTTCCCAGCTTGGCTCTCTGGTGCTGGGGGTGGAGCTCCCTGATCCCCATAGGCTGTAGGCAGATTTGCTGTTCCTCCTCCTAGATCCTGTCCCCTGTGCGGGGCCTTATCACACCATTGTATGGACTTGTCCACAGAGTGACAGCTCCAGGGACAAGGTCTGGGTCCTTATCACCAGCACCCAGCACAGTCCCAGGCACTTTATACATATTTATTGAGTGGAGGAAGAGATGAGATCAATGACTTTTGAATGACTTTAACTTGAGCCTCAATTTCCTCTTCTATAAGTTGGCTTTCAGGGATGCTGTGACGGTGGCAGGAGATAAAGGATGTGAAAATGTATGTGCCTAGGCAGCAGTCAGAAAAGTAGGAGTTAGTATACAGCGGAGAGAAAAGCGAGGAAAATGAGATACTGTCCCTAAAGCACTTAGCAGTGTCTGGCATTATTAGTCACCATTATCATTATTACTATTATTTCCGTTATTATAAGAATGCACATTTC